ATAAAGTGTCAGATCTTCTGCAAATAAGAGTAGTTTGACTTCTTTCTTCCCTGTTCTTATTCTTTTCATTACTTTCTCTTTCCTGGTTGTTCTGACTCAAGTTTGAGAACTGTTTTGGAAACAAGTGCTGATAATGAGGTTTTTGTTCCTGATTTTGGAGCAAAAGTTTTGACTTTTTCCTTAGTTAGTATGATGTTGGCAGCAGGTTTATCATAAATACATTTTATCAGTTTGATCTAAGATTCTTCTGTGCCTATTTCGATCAGTGTTTTTGATCATGAATAGATGGTGATTTTATCAAACTCACTTTTTTCCATCTATGGAGATGATCGTGTGGTTTTTACTCTTACTTGTCTAAAAACAGATGATAAAATTTTAACTTTTATTCTGCTATGCATCTTAGCTTCCTAAAGTTTCTGTCTTGCGAATCCTCCTAACTTCAGAAAATGAACTTGATTTCTTAACTTCTTCTCCTCTGGAACTCTGAAACTCATTTAAGATTCCTGTCTTTAGGCCAGGTTTGGTAGCACGTGCGTATGATAGCAGCATTTTGGAGGCTGAAGCAGGAGAATACCTGTGAGTTCAAGGCCAACCTGCGCTACATAGCCAGACCCTGTCTCAAAAATGATTTCCGTCTTGAGGGTGATAGATGCATCACTGGAAGGAGTCAAAGGCTGAGGTGACTTAAGTGAGAAGCTGCTATATCACGCTACTCCTCGTACAGTGTGAGGTCTTTCTGTTCACTCGAAATCCCTCAGTGCAGAATTATCCTGTGTCTTTTTTTATCTCCAGTTTCATTGAAGAGTACTGCTGAACACGAAGTACTGAAGGATAGGTTAATTGTGCAATTCTTCAATTTTTCATATAAGTACTCACTGTAAATATAATATGCTTGTTACTTTAGTGTTTTTCATAAATGGAAACATTTTCTTGCATGTGCGTAGAGGAAGGGATTTTCTGAGCCTGGATTATATCACAGGATATTGCTCTGAAGTCTTAGACCTTCCAGGGTCCTTCGTTTCCAAACAGAGATTTCACTGGCTGCATCTTCACCTTTCATCAGAATATTGTCTGAAGCTTCTGTATAAAAGTACATCCCAAAGAGGGTGGTTTCTTCAGTTATTGACTTTTCGTTCTCGTAGAAACCAAGAATGTAAGAGAGAACTGTTTTAGAACAGTGTATTCTCAAATGGACAAGTGGAAGTAAGATCTCTCTTTTTACTTGGAAAAACACTGTTGACACTCAAAGAAATTCATCTTCATAACATTACCTATTCCTAATTTTGCCTGGAAAATCAACCTTGGAGTGGCATCACATTAAGTATTATGAAATGTGAAGGAACACAGGCTGGCATAAAAGTTAGTGTACAAGAGTTAAAAGTAACAAGGCATTGTGTCTTTTACTTAAAAACCTTTCTGGTTTTTCTGTAGGTTTAAAGTCAAAAATTACCAGTATGTTCTGGCCTTGGTGTTTGCCATAGAAGAGATCAACAGCAATCCCCACCTTTTGCCGAACATATCCCTGGGATATGAATTCCATAATGTCGGGCACAGCCAGTGGAGGACATTGGAGAGTTCCCTCTCTTTGCTCACAGGGCAGGATGAGATCCCTAACTACACCTGCGGGAGAGGGAGCAAGTCCACAGCAGTTCTTACAGGAACAGCGTGGGAAACTTCTGCCCAGGTTGGAACACTGTTGGAACTCTACAGATTTCCACAGGTGAGGAAGGGTAGATGGGAAGAGATAAAACCTTGCCAATTTGGTGGTACTCTTCAGTACTTAAAGAGAGTAGAGGCAGAAGCTTATGTTTGTGCATCTCTCAAGATGTACAGTCTAACAAAAGTGCAGAAGGATTTCTTTTCCCCCATAGCCTCGCCACAATTTGTTATTGGTTGATTTCTTGATAACCATTTTTGTGGAGTGAAATGTAAACTCATTGCTCTTTTAATTTCAACTTCTCGAATGACCAGAGATGTTGAACATTTTTTATGTGTTTATTTGTTGGTTGAACTCCTTCATTTGAGCACAATCTATGGATTTCACATACCATTTTTGAACTGGGTCTTCATATTTGTGTTGTATAACATTTGGTAGTTCTCTGAATATTCTAGATAATAGTCGTTTGTCTGAGGAATAGCTGGTAAAATTTTATCCCACACTGTGAGTTTCCTTTTCACTTTGTTGGAGCTTTCTTTTGCTAGGAAAAAGTCTGTTAATAAGATAAGGTCCCAGTTGTTGATTCCTGGTAGTATTTCCTGTGCCACTGATGTTTTGTTCAAAAAATCTTTGCCTACACCTATGTGTATAAGAGTTTTACCTAATTTATCTTCAGGCAATTTAGTGTTTTTGTTTTAATATTTAGATACGTGATTCATTTTGATTTTGTTAGTGCATGGTAATGCACATTGGTCTAGATGTACTTTTTGGTGCATAGAAATCCAGTTTCATGTCACCAATCATTCATGAAGGTATCTTTCTTTCAGTGAAGGTGTTTGGTCCCTTTGACAAAGATAAGGTAGCTGAGTGTGCTTGGAGTTGTCTCTGCATCTTGTATTCTGTGCCATTGATCCTCAAGTCTGTCTCTGATCCTCAAGTCTGTCTCATCACCATGCTGTTTTTACCTCACTAGCTTTATAATATGACTTCCACTAGGAGATTGTGATGCCCCTTGTTTGCCTTTTTTCACCCAGAATTGTTCTTGCTATTCTAGGTCTCTTCTGGTTGTATATGAATTTTACAATTTTTTTTCACTACTTCTGCCAGCTATTCTGCTGGTAATCAATTGGGGTTGCATTACATCTGTGTACTAGTATTAGAAATATTCCAATTTTCACTCTGTTGGTTCTGCCTGTCCAAGAACAGGAAATATCTTTACATTTTCTGGTATCTCCTTTGATCTTTTAAGAGCAATGTAGTTTTCACTGTGTATGTTTTTCACTTTTGTTGTTAGATTGATTTCTAAGTATTTCATTTTATGTGATGCTATGTGGAAGATGTGGTTTTTGTAATTTCTCTCTCATTGAGTTTTGGTTACAAAAATGTTCTTGATTTTTGACTGCTGACTTTGTATCTTGTTATGCTGAAAAATTTGCTTATAGCGCTGGAAGTCTTTTGGTGCAGTTTTTCTCAACTTTGATGTAGAATATCATGTTATCAGGAAAAAAATGACGATTTAATTTATTCTTTCCTTTCTGTATTCCTTGTATTTCCATCACTTGTCTAATTGCTATTGCTAATGTTTTCGAACTGGATTGAACCTCAGTGTCCATAGTGGGCATATTTGTCTTCTTGATTTTGGAGTGAAAATTTTCAGTTTTTGATCATTGAGTGTGATGTTGGCTGTTGGTTTGTCTTAGACAGCTTTCGTTAGATTGAGATAAAGTGAGTTTATTCCAATTCCCTGTAGGGTTTTTATCCGGAGTATGTGTTGGACTTCATCAAATTGTTTCCCTGCATCTATTGAGACAGTCTTGCAGTTGTTGTTCTTGCCTCTTTTGATGTGGTGTACTGCATTTATTGATTTGCATACGCCCAACCATCCTCCATCCTTGGGATGAATCTTCCTTGGTCATGGTACATAATCTTCTGGATTACTTGCTGTAATCTGTTTGCCAACATCTCAATGAGGATTTCTGAATCTATGTTGATTACAATGTTTGGTCCATAGTCTTCAGTCTTGGCTGGGTCCTTCCCTGGTTTTGGTATCAGGGTTATGCTTGCTTCCAGGAACGAGTTTGGGAATATTTTGTCCCTTTCAATTTCATTCAAGGGTTTGAGGAGTAATAGCATTAGATCTCCGCTAACATTCTTGTAGAATTCAGTATTAATTCCATCAAGACTAGGGATTTTCTTTGTTGGTGAGTTTTTAGTTACATCTTCCATATCATTAACCGATATTGGTTTGTTTAGAATTTTTACATCTTCTTAATTCACATGTGATGATTCATATGTATCTGGAAATCTATCCATTTCTTCTGCATTGTTCTTATTCTTAGAATGAATGTTTTCACAGTAAGTATTGATCACCTTCTGAGTTTCTGCAGGATCTGTTGTGATTTTGCCATTTTCCTCCCTAATTGTATGGATTCAAGTCTTTGCTTTGCCATTTTTCATGAGGTTGGTTAAGGTTTTGCCTACTTCATTTAACCTTTCAAAGAACCAACACTTTAGACATCAGCAGTTCAATTATCCCAGCTATCCTTGTATATACATATATATTTATTGAAAGGAACAGTTAATGCTGAAATCTTTTTTTGACCAATTTTGCATGCTTATACCTGATAATCTGAACAACTAATTTGAAGACATCAATAGGCAACATAACAAACATTATTAAGTTCCTACCATCTTGATTACTGAAACTCTATATCATTTTTAATGTCTTTTATTACTTTTTACTCTCTTTAATTGTTTAATCAATCTTGGATTCTTACATCTGGTAATCTGAGCATCAATATATAATATAACAGCAAGTATTACTTCCTATCATCTTGTTTTGAAATTTGTATTGTTTTTATTGTTTTTGTCTTGTTTTGTTTTTATCTTTGCTGTTGTTGTTTTCTTTTTCTTTAAAATAAAAAACAAAGCAAAACCAAACAGATCTTTAAAAAGAGAACCAGCTCTCTGATTCATTGATTGTTTATGTTCTTAGTCTCAATTGTATTATCTTTTGGTCAGAACTCTGTAATTTCCTCCCCCGTATATTTTTGTATTTAACTCACTCTTCTTTTCCTAGAAGCTTGAGGTTCAACATTAAGTTATTTACTTCAGCTCCATCTGTGTTTTTGCTGTGGGAACTCTGCACTCTAAATTTTCTCCTGTAATACTGCTTTCACTGCATCCCATACATTCTGATATGTTGTACTGGCATTTTTTTTCAATTGTAGAAACAATCAGGTTCGTTCTTTAATTTCATCTGTAACCCATTGTGAGTACAACTAGTATGGAAATGTGTATGGAGAGAACTCATAAACTAAGACTTGAGGTTCCATTTGACCCAGGTGTTCCACTTCTTGGTCACTTCAGAAAGCGTTAGAATTCTCATGCCCCAAGGATATGTGCACACTCATACTTACAGCAGCACAGTCTGCAATACCTAAATCTTGGACACTGGATAGATGTGCATCGGTGGATGAATGGATAAAGAAGATGCGCTTTCTTCCACAGTGGAGTACTGCTCTGTCATAAGAAGGATAAACTTGAGATAGTTTTAGGTAAATGGGTGCACGTTGACACCATGTGAGAAACCAAAGTGTAAATAAGGACCAATAAGGTGATAGATGAAGGGAAGCAGCAGGAAAATGTGTGAATGTGCAGGGCATGTGGGAGGAGGGCGGGGAGGACGACAGTGAGAGGAGGGAAAAAGAGAGAGCAGAAGGACAAGAGGGAAACAAAGCTTTTATAAATGTGAAGAAAGGAAGCCTGAAGAAGGCAGAAGGCAATGGGGAAAAGCTAGAAGATAGCATGTGCCAGTGACATTCCTGTGATGAACCCGATGAGAGGATAAATACGAAAAACCCACACCTTTTGTTTTAGTTCATTCATTGGTTGATGTATGTTGGGCAATTTCCTAGATGAGCTGCTACAAACTCTTCATGTAATGGAGTACTACTCTGCAATAACAAAGGATAAGCTTAAGACATTTTTTGCTAAATGTGTGGAAGTTCAGAGCACATGCTCAAGTGAAATAAATCAGAGAAACCTGTGTAAATATCACATTGTCTCAGTGGTGTGAGAAACTGAAAGTGTAAATAAGAACCAAATTGTACAGAGATATGGTGAAATGGGAAGAAATGGTTTCAAAGGAAAGGGGAACTAGGGAGGGGAGGTGGGGATGGGAAAGAAGAAAGGCAAAACAATGAGAAAAGAAGGATAAAATGGAAACAAAAGTTTGTAAATAAGGCAGGGAAGAGGAGTTAAAGGAAGGGGAGGAAACTGGGGGAGAAAAAAACCAATCAAGGTAAATCAGTACAGGGACGAAATCCCCAAAATGAATGTGATCATTGTATATATCTAAACTATGCCAATAAACTTAATTAAATAGAGTATAAATGAACAAATCACAAATATGTACTAATAAAAAAGTTGAAAAAATAAAATGAGAAAGATATACAACTAAAAAATGAGTGCACAGAATCCAGGTTTGGTCACCATATTGTGGTTGTCTACAAAAATGAGGAAGTTGAAAGTAGACAGAGATGTTTTCTAGAGCCCTACAGGCAAGTAATTACTTTGGAAAGGCTCTGAAAGAGTAAGGTAATTGAAATGGAGGAATGAACAAATATCTCTTCCTATCACTTACAGCTCTTGATCAATACTCTTCAAATCTGCGAATGTGCTTTCTGCCAATGTCTTCGTTATTTTACTTACAGTTTTCTTTTCTTGTAGCTGACTTTTGGCTCTTTTGTCCCTATGCTCAGTGACCAGGATCAGTTTCCTTCTGTCTATCAGATGTCCCCCAAAGACACATCTCTAGCTCTTGGCATGGTGTCACTGATGCTTCATTTCAGCTGGACATGGGTGGGACTGGTCATTGCAGAGAGTCAGAAAGGTCTTCAGTTCCTCTCAGACTTGAAGGAAGAGATGGACAGGAACGGAATCTGTGTAGCATTTGAAAAAATGATCTCGAGCACTGCCATGCTACACTTCTCAGATAGACCAACACATGACTTATGGACCCGAGAAACATCACCAGCAAATGTGGTTATCATGTACTTTGATCCTAGTGAAAGTGATGCTGGGTTTTATACGGAGCAACATCTGGTGACGTGGAGAGTCTGGGTCACAAACTCACAATGGCATGCTGCCACCTTTGGAACAAATTTGATAATTGATTCTTTTCATGGAACAATCATTTTCTCAAACCAGCGTGAAGAGATTTCTGGTTTTAAAACTTTTATCCAGACAGCTTCCCCTTCAAAGTTCCCAGAAGATATTTACTTCACTGTGTTTTGGGCCATGATCTTTGACTGCACTTTATCTAATTTTGATTGTACTTTGAAGAACTGCCCACCCAATGCTTCTCTCACATGTCTGCCTTTAAGTCTTTTTGACCCCACCATGAGTGAGGAGAGTTACAATATGTACAACGCTGTGTATGCTGTGGCCCATGCCCTCCAGGAGACACTTCTTCAACACATTCAAATGCAACCCAGCAAGAATGGAGAATGGAAGGGATTCTCCCCGTGGCAGGTAATGGCTCTGGCACTGGATGGCAGATAGTGCCTTGAAGGGTCTGACAGGCGTGCAAAAGACACAGTTTAGAATGTTTGGTCCAAAACAAGAGGTTGTGCATCAGTTTCACTGTAAAGGAGCAGTAGCAATCTGAGTAGAAATGGTTATTCAGAATAAGTAGATTCTATCAAGGGGGACATTAAACATGAATCGAGGCAAATATTTTGTATTCCACAGGATGTCAGCCTAATCTTCACCTAAAGTTTTCAGCTAAGGAAACCTGAAAATTTCCCATGGAATCGTTAATAGACAATAGGAAACGTTTTATTCCTTTACACAATTCATAATATAGGACTGTATGTACAGAATGGATAAGCACTCTATTGGAGATTTTATTTGAATTAGTGTTGAAAATACTTGTTTTCATGTGCATCCTCTAGGAACAATATGACAGAAAATGGGTGTGGGAAGGTGTCACCATACAGCTGAGGTATTTTCTGTTTTGGAACATTATTTTGTTGGTTTTTGCTGTAGCATTTTTTGTCTTTTTATCTTTTCTTTTGGTACTGGGAATCAAACTCAGGACTTTGTGCTTGCCAGGCCAGTGCTTGTGCTGCTGAGCTATGTCCCCCGCCCACATTTTTCTTTTATAGGTATTGATGTTTTTGGAACATTGTAGTATTTTGGTTTTCCAAGGCCTTTCACCTGTCCTTCTTCACTGGATGACTATAGAGAACTGTCATTGTAAAGCAGGGAGTAAAGACATTCAAGGACTTTCCCCAGTGGAGTTCTGATCCTTAAGCGTGGGACTCAGTTATTTATAGGATTCTGCACCTCTTGTAGTTGCACCGCTCTCTGAAGGAACTTCAATTCACCAATCCTGCTGGGGACCAAGTGAACATGGATGAGCAAAGGAAACCGGCTGCAGAGTATGACATTCTCAACTTTTGGAACGTTCCAGAGGGTCTTAGACTTAGAACCAAAGTAGGGAGGTTTTCCCCACATGCTCCACATGGTCAGCAGTTGTCTTTAAATGAAGATGTGATGGAGTGGGGCACAGGAATTACAGAGGTAATTTGCATGTAATTGTACTGATTTTCAGTAATCATAGACACTGACATTGTGCTGTGAGTTTTTCCCCTTGATTTAGCTTAGAAAATGTTCATGTGAGGAAAATTGAAAGTCACATTTCAGTTTATAATTGTCCTTACTTATCAGCTTTTTGATGAATGGGAAAATAATAAAGTTCTTACCCATAGTTCGAAAAACTTCATGTATTCATATAATTTGGTAAACATGATTTTAACCCTATTAAATTTATCCGTCTAATTCTGAAGTAGCAGGTAAAAGCCCAAGACGTCACCAACACATGCCTGATTTTCCTCAGACTCCCCACTCAGTCTGCAGTGAGAGCTGCAATCCCGGATTCAGGAAATCTCCGCGGGAGGGACTGGCTGTCTGTTGTTTCTCTTGCAACCCCTGCCCAGAGAATGAGATCTCCAACGAGACGGGTAAGTGCAGGCCTTCCGCGAGATTGTCCATTGCTCATGTTATCCTGCCTCCTGCCTAGAAAATGGAAAGTGAATGAGGAGCTCACCAAAATATAATTCCTCCTTCCTTTAGCATCTGATTTCATTATTGTGCACATTACAATATCCAGTGTCAAAACACGCTCTGTATTCCTTGAACATTCCTTGATTCATTTTTCTAGACTCGTCAGAAGCATTATTTTCTCAATACCCCATTTTTGAATAAATCCATTTTGCAAGTTTCATGTTTTTCACAGTTGTTAATATGCAGTTTTAGTAAACAACAACAGTTCCCCTTTTAAGATACATTTGGAACACATTAAATATATGGAATTTGTATTTTATTTCCTTAAGTACCTAAAACAATTTCCAGGCAGTCCAGAGTTTGGACTTTTGTTTAAAAATTAGGTGTGAATTTCATATATGAAATGACAATTGTAAGGATGACCTCAGTTAGGAGGCTTCATGCTTACATCAGGTGTACAGAGGCGGCAATATGCAACAACAGGCAAAAAAATTAAAGACATAAATACACAATAATGATTGGGAAGGTAATGAAACGCCTGGTGCTCACTAAGTGATACTGGATACAATATTTTGAAATAATTTTTTCTGTGTTTGGGGATTTTTAAGGCAGGGTCTGTCACTGTATACAGGCTTGCCTTGAAAAACTATGTATCCCAG